GCTGCAAATTGTACTGCTGGGAATGCCTATTGCTTGCAACTGACCGATTTGGTGTTTGGAGCCACACTGGATTGTTTTAATAAGACAGCAAGGAAACGGCTGGGCACTTACAAGCTACGGTGCGTTTAAAAACGTTTGGGGACACTCGCGTAGATCTGCACCTCAGTGAACAGGCACTACATTGGTGAGTAAATGAATTTTATTTTACATTTCTTCTTGTCATTTTATTTCGTGAGTATTAAATTCATGGTAACGAAATAAAATGACAAAGATACAAAAATGTATCAAATAAATCTGCTCACCTGCAATTTATAATGGCGCATTGTAGTCACCTTCGTGCACGAAAGTTCGTTCAATCTCAGCTGCTCAACATTTTCAGTTATTTATTGTTGTATCGCCGATTTTCAAAATGCAAATGATCTGTTTATTTTCAAAGAATAGTTTGTTTTGTTATTGTTTGGTTGGTGTCTTATATGAAACTGCGACATTGCGCAATGTATTGGACAGACTTGTTTAAGATCACACAGCGTAATTTGGGTGGCATTTTATTTCGTATTTTTAAATCATCTTTTTATTTTTGACTATCTGTAAATTTAGTTTCCTGCTCTTAATTGTGAATGCATACTTGATGGTTTTAAATGCTGCTGAAATTAAGTGCAGTTTGACGACCCTATACAGTATTGCGTTCATGTATGTGACGTCACTGAAGGCCTAAGGTTGAAATGCACGGCCCGCCACTGCATACATCCATACATACATATAAAATCGGAATATTACAATTTGATCTATTTATCTCCACAAGCGTTGCAGGCATGCTGGAGGCTATCCCAGCACTGGTTGCCAGCCCATCGCAGATGTTAATTTATTTCATTATAAAATATATATACATCGTCAGGCAAAATGATCTGACACATTTGTAGGTTAAAGGCAAATCAAGTAAAGAAACAAAAAAAGTGTATATATATTTTTTCGTGTATTTTCAGGAAAGTCTGTAGCGACGCCACTCGAGTGAAGTGCGACTCAGCAGTCGATAGTACGCTGCTCTCTGCTGTGCGTGCGTCAGTGCAAACATGTATGCACGCGTGCGTCTTTTGGCTTCAACCAATCAGTGCTGACGCAACGGACGTTACACATCAAAGGGCTTTGATCTACGACAACAGCTAAGCTAGCCTAGCCACGACAACAGCTAACTTCATTGAGATGACACGACGCTCGAGGTCGGACGGACACGCTCTCTTTCATAATCTGTATGTTTTTCCTTTTTCCTCTTTCTGTCCAAATATATATTTTTCTACAAACAATAGCTGTCTTGTCCACGACGTCTTTTTTCGTTCCACCGGGATTTAGCCAGTGTTTTTATAAAGAGACAAAAATCTCTTTAAGTCCACTTTAATCTCTGACACATGACATGGCTCAGTGGGCTCGAGTGAGTGGCCAACATTATTTGCAATGGTCTGGTGCTAGTCATGTTCAGAAGCATCTCACAGTGTGCGACAGCCTTTAAACATCTGGTGCCCCCTCTTCACAAACACAAGGCATTTTGCTTTGTTCACAGCAAAGTGATACTATAGTATCAGAGAGCAAAAGAGACAGGAACAGGGTGACCTAACCAAATGTCTTTTGTGTGATGATTGGGCCATGGGCCGAACAAGTCTAAATGTTTCTGAATATGTGCCTCCCTTTAGGATGTGTCCATTGTGGAATTGAATGAAAAATGTGAAAGCCTTCAAAAGAAAATTGTGTCTCTTCGCCGTGGCCACTTTGGTCGTCGTCTTTGTCTTCTGGTCGAGCAGGATGGGAATCACAGTGTTCATGGGGCTTCCCACCATGTGCCCTGGGCAGCCGAGCGAGGAAACCATCACCCGTCTGCATGGCACCAAGCACCTACTGGTGTCAGCATACGCGGACCGCAGGGTGTCTGGCAAGGACATACGCATTATTGGCATCTTCAATAGGTACTCGGCGCAGGAGCTGCATTGCGTCTTCTGCTGCCAGGGATCCATGTCCGGTCAGAGCCCAGCGACAGTTCTGCTGCATTCCGACAACTTTGGCTACCCTTATGTCACCACCGATGTCCTGTGTCAGACACCGGCTGGATGTAAAGGGTCTCATGTGGCCCTCGTGCCATCCCAACTGCGTGCCACCACAGAAAACCTAGCGTGGCTGCCTGTAAGGAACCTGAAGGAGGCAGAACAGGAAGAGGCAAGGCTGCCATTCAACTTGACAGTGTGCATTTCAGTCCTGTTTGAAAACTTCAACAATGTCCTCCAGGCAGCTGACCTGTACATCCTAGAGATGTACAGGTCAGCATTTTTCACTTGGAGTTTTTGGGGCCTTGGCGGTTAGGGTTCCCTCCATAATGATATGAGAGCATTTAATTCAATTACAACACGATGTGATTAACTAAAGGACAATGAATGACAATTACGATGCAGTTCACGCCATTATGATACAATAAGTTGCACTGCACTGTAATGCAGGTTACTGAAATTATGATGACTCAATACAACTATGATAGCATTAAAAAACGAATCTGATCAAATTACACTCAATTTTTTTGAATCTTTGTAAAATCTTTTTGAAGCTTTTAGCCATGTAAAAATGCTAATTCATCACCAAAAACACCTCCAAAGTGGTATTTTCCTCTATCCACCTATCTCTGAGCATTCCTGCTCATTCTCCCTCTCTAAGCAACAGCTCTGCCATTCCAAGAAAACGACAGGGTCCTGACTTTTCTACATCACAAAAAGAGGAGCCACCTCCATGCCGCTCCTGCAGACCAAACACAGGCCCACTTCGTCAGAATAGCCACCAGGGAAGCACTTTCATTTTTGCATGGGAGTTGGGGAGAAGTGGCTCCTTTCACACACTGGGTCCCTTTCACTTGAATGAGACCGCCTGTGTGGAGTGTCGCCAATTCCCCGGCACAGCAATTGTGGCTCCCACCTCGGGGATGGCCACTTTGAGCAGCCGCCGACAGGCTTCGGATGCTGCAGAGTGCAGATAACGAGGAGGGGCGGCCAAATGAATGACAGTGAGCTCAGTGTGCGTGTTTGTTTGAGTCTAATGGAAAAGCAGCACAAGTCTGCCTAGTGATAACAACCGTTCATTACGACTACGATTGGCTGTGACTCAGCTAGGTTCCACTCCACAATGACACACGAGCGCAAATGCACAATTTTAACCGTGCAAAGGCTAGCAAAATACCAAAACAAACCAAACTCCATCCATGTGGACGGTTAGACTACACTTTGCGTTAGACTTTCTTTGGCTTCAACTCAGTACAACCTCCTCAAATTCTTGGTCTCGACTTGGTCAAGACCATTCAATCTTCGGGTCGACTTTGACATCGTCACTTAAGTCTTGATCAGATTGTCACACCTGTATAACCAGAGCCACCTACTCCCACAGGTTGCTTGGCGTTAACAAGGTGGTGATCTACAACATCAGTAGTGGCCCGGAGCTTGACCGCCTATTACATAGCTACAGCCAGGAAGGCTTCCTGGAGACTGTGCCTTGGCCAATAAACTGGCATCTGACACTCTCTCATGGCTGGCTCTTCTCCGAGAGCGGCGGTGACCTGCACTATTTTCGTCAGCTGACCACACTGAACGAGTGCATCTACAGGTCCATGCATCAGTCACGCTACGTTCTGCTCAATGACTTGGATGAGATCATCATGCCGTACCAACACGATGACCTGCCGTCGCTGATAAGCGATCTCCAACAACAGCATCCGGACGTACAGTCTTTTGTATCCTCGCCTCAGGATGGCATTGATGTACATGTACAAACTCATGCTTGATCTTGTGCATCCTCCAGACCAGCGAGTTCCGCATTGAAAACCATATATTTCCGAAGACGCACGTGGAGCCCAGCGGCAAGTTCCAACTACCTCAGTGGGAGGGCGTGCCAGGGTTAAATATCCTGCAACACATCTACCGAGAGGAGCCAGACTATTCTATTTATCACCCATACAAGATGATCGTTCGGCCAAGGTATGCCACATTTAAGTCAGGGTCATAACAGTTGGGGAATTTTCATTAGAATTGGTTTCATTTCATGTTGGTTGTGAAGTTTTAATTAGTTTTCAGAGCTTTTAAAATTGCATTTTTTTTCTTGAAAATGCATCATTTTAGTTTAGTTTTTATTAGGTTTAGGTTTTTAAAAATGTGTATTTCTTGTGTGCACGATGTTACGGTAAATATTGTGTAGTTAAAAACTAAAAATGAATATTTAAAAAATGTAGGTACTGTATGACAGTACACAAGCACAAATACATAGGAGCAGTTTATAGTAATGCTTCTAAAGTTAGATGTATCACCACTCTAATGTCCAGAGATGAAAGTCCTCCGGATTTTCCCGGAATTCCGTGTTTTTCAAATTTTTATGAAAATCTCTCCGGAGAATTGAGGAAAATTTGCCATAAAATTAATCCGGATATTAGTTAACATCATTGAACGAAGACACGTTTGAGTTCGTTGTTTTGCTTTCACGAGCGTAGCCATGTTGAGACACTAACACTAGTAACAGGAAAGAGATTTTCGTCTCTTTATAAACACACTTGCTAAACACCATGGGAACGAATAAAAGACACCGTGGACAAGACAGTTGTCGTAAAAAATATATTTGGACAAAAAGG